GTAGTAGTGGTAGTACTGGTAGTACTGGTAGTACTGACACTTGTGGCCTCTAATTCGGTTGCACCGACACGAGGTGACCGTTGGGGGCATCGTCAATAGGGCACATCTTTTGGGGCCGGGGGTGTGGCATGGGCTCACCCTCGATCCCGCAACGGTTGACAAACGGGTGCGAGTGGAACACCTCTAGCTGTTCAGCCCTATGGAGGAGCATTCGTGACCCGCGGATTTTTGCCAATTGGGGCTAATAGCACAGAGCGCAGCCATGAAGAAGAAGCACAAGAAGACGAAGAAGGAGAGTCAGCTCAGGATTTCAACTTCCGGCGCTGCACGCTGCGCCCCATCTACGACTTCCTTCTGGGAGCAGTGGCCTCGATCTGAAACCATGGTCTTACTGTATGGCCCCTCCGGCACATGCTTGGCGGAATCGGATGCTGCATAGGCAGTTGAACTTCACAGTGCACTCTGAAGACTAGCTGTTCAACACAGATCAACACAGTTACTACTCGAATTGATCAGCCACGGCGGTGAAATCCTTTGCGTTTCTTGAAGAAGGACCTTCGCAAGAGGAGCCACAAAACAAGCGAGAGTAGCACTTGGCCTTTCCAGGTCATCAGTTCTCCGAGTTTCCCTTCCACAAACTTCCAGATCGATGTGGATTCCAGCTGCCGGGCGTTTCTCCGGCAAGGGTTGCCACTCTGTACGTGGTTTCGGCGCACTGTCCTTGAAATGGCTCCTCTTCTCTCTCCTTCGCCGAGTCCACCAGAGACCTGAGCTGGCCAGGTCCATCCGTCACATTGGGCCTCTGCGCTCGCGAATCCCGGCCAGAGCCTCAGTCAGGAGCCTTCCATCTCGCGTGGGGGGCACCTTGCGTGGCTTGCGTGAGCCGTGGCCCTTTCTGCCCCCCCCTTCTCTCAGGTTTACAGTTTCAAGCGTCGGGTTCTCAGCTTCCTCCCTTGCCAAAGCCCGAGTCGTCTTTTTCAGTGGTGGTCGTCGTGCTCAGGTCCAGACTTGGAGGCTGATACGCTGGCTTTTGGGCAGTAGCCACGTGCGAGGTTGTGAAGAAAAGGGTAGCTTTTAAAGTGACGATGGAGCCAGTGTGCCAAGGATTCTCTCTTCCAAGCCCGGTTGCAGCAGAACTCGCACCCGACAGGACTGGCTGGTGAGAATTAGCGATCAAAAGTCGGAGGCGGCGAAGGCAGGGATGAACCCCGCACGGAAATGGGTAGTGCGCAGAAAGGGTGACGGTGAGCTTGCGAATATGCAACTATGCGCATGCATTTCCAGATGTTCTCTTTTCGTAAGATTTCGTATGAAGATCTGGAACCAGAAGTGAGACCATGTTCCCTAAACTGCAGAACTCGGGAACCAATCCAGAGAACTGCACGTCGTCCACCTCGGCGCGGGCCGGGGGGCCGGAGCAAGGCTTGCCCAGTTTTTCAGCGGTTCGGGCGGGGAGGGGATTGAGAGGAGGGGAAGAGGTCCCCGGAGCGCAGTCAGAGGGAACCTCTGACTGCTTCGGCCGGGGCCTAAACCCTAAACCCATTAATATAGTATAAAATATATAATCAATAATCCATAATATATAATATATATTCTATAATATATTACATATAAGTCTACATGGCTTCCTGCGGACTCTTCCGTGGAGAGGCGATCGACGATACCTCTCCGCAGGCAGCAGAGTCGGCAAAGTCCATGTGCCGGACTTGGACATCATTTCTCGAAGCCGCATCTAAAAAACTTCACAAGTTCGTGTCATAAAGCCCTTATATAAACCCCTTATGAAGAGCCTAGAAGTGATGTGCGAGCCATCTTTAGTACAGAAGCGTGGAGAGACAGGGTGACGGAAGGTTGAGCAGGAGTTTCATCCAGTTTCGTCTTGGAGCGCGTCAAGGAAGTGGGAAGCATCACTGACTTCGTGTGTGCCTGTTGCAGTACTGCGTGCGGCATTCCGTGAAGCAAATGTCGACCCTAAGGGCGCTGAATGAGGAGCAAGTCAAGAGAGAGGCTGTGGCCTTTATGTTTGGCTTCGGAAGTAGCAGAAAGCTGTCCCGAATTTCGGGGAATTTGTTTCAAGGCTTCCAAGCTTCCGAGCTCCCGGGGCAAACAGGGGATCGATCACGACGTCACGGCCCAGCCAAGACCGAGTCAGCAACACCGGGAAAAAAATTGCGTGTGGATGTTTCCTGCGCCAGGACACGAACACCACTCAAAAGACCAATGCAACGGCCAAGATGGAGGCTGCTAGCCCTTGGTGGGGATCTTCAAAGAGCTGTCTCCCCGTGACCCTCTGCCCCAGCTCGCCGAATCCTGCTCAGGGCAGGGAGTTGAAGAGTCCGCCGTCCGGGCTCACGCAGCCGCCCGGAAAGCTGCAAAGTGGTGTCGAGGGTACCCACATTCACATTGGTTTCATGGGTTTCCATGGTTTTGAGGACAGAGGCATGGCATTCTCAAGAGGCTAGCTTCGGATTCGGAGACAGTGGGTCCAAAATGCTTGTTTCGGTTGAGGACAGCGCCGTGAGTGAAGCATCCGCAGCTTTGAGGTCACCGCCTCCTTCCAAGCGCATGAAGGGGAAGAAGGGAAAGGCACGCTTTGTCAGAAGGGCGGTTTCTGCTGAAAGTGGGGCGTCAGAGGCGCTAGAGCCACAGAGGGAAGTGCCGCCGAAGCACCGCACCAGGCCCAGTATTTGGAGCCGACCATCGTTCCCGACTTCAGCATCATGCCCCCGATCCAGGCCCTGCAAGGGCTTTCGGCTCAAGGCTCTTGGCATGATGTCCGGCTACTGTCGAGAAGACTGTCTGTGGTCTCTTACCTGCGGCTCATCTGCTGCCTACGGCCCATGCGCATGCTGCCGGCATGCGCTTTGTGAGTGCTCGTCGCAGGATGCAGAGCAAGCACTTTGCGATCCGCAAGGCCCGGAATTAGAAAGCCTCTGGCTGCGTTTGGTCCCACGTTCTTTCACCTGGCAGCCAGTCGTGTAGACACTTGTCTGCGAGAGAGCCACCAATGCATCGCTGTCTCGCTCAGCAGTCGCTCGCTACCCTCCCCTCCCCCTCCCCCTCTCACTACCGACCCACCATGCTCCCCTCCCCTCCCCTCTTTGCTCCCTCCCTCCCTCCCTCCCTGACTGACTGACTGACTTATGCACTGTTTCCAGATCCATCTCTATGGGATCTCTCTTTCGACGCTTGCATCACGCATTCCTACGACCTACAATCTGTATCGATTTTTCCTTCTAGCCCGCCTCGTACGTGCCAACACGGCTCTCGAGCCATGTCTATTGTCTATCTGTCACTTTTTCAGTCAGTCTGTCTGTCTGGCTGTCTGTCTGTCTGTCTAACTAGCTATCTATCTATCCTTCTGTCTTTCTGTACTTACTTGTGAAATGTCCAAGTCCGGAAGTTGGCCACTTCGGAAAAGGAAAGAGAGTGAGAGAAAAAGCACGCTCTTCATGCCCGCGAGGGAGGGAGAGAGACAGAGAGAGATAGAGAGAGAGAGAGAGAGCGAGCGAGCGAGCCAAAGAAGAGAAAAACGAAGAGGGAGCAATCGGGTGAAAGAAGACGTACCTCTGATCGATCATGGCTGGGACATCCACAAAGCAAAGCAAACAACCGTGCATCCGTCGGAAGGCCTAGTTCGCACTTGTGCTTCCCGGATCTCCTTGTTCCTGCAGCGGGTGCAGAGGTGGGCTTTGCATTTTGCAACTCCGGAGTCCTGCACGCTCTGCATCAGTACGTAATTTACGGTAGTTTACTGCAGGAGTACAGCAGCCAGAGTTTTGTCCGACATGGGTGCGGCGTTCGTCTTACCTTGCCAAGGCAGCTGGACCGCATAGAAGGCTTGGAGCACAAGACGGTGGAGGAGGCGAAGCGAGGGGGCTGGACTTTTCGCAGTTTCGCCAGCTCGCTGCTCACCGGATCCGGAAGGCCACGTTCCCCAAACCCAAAGACTGGTAAGGGATCCATGGTGTATAGTGTTGCTGTACTATACGACCTAGCATAGTTATACTATACCATGTAGTCAATCTATACCATAGAGAGGTAGCCCCCAGAATCGAAAGCCAAGAGAGTTGCACCCTGTCCCTCGATGAAGCCATTCTGCTCAGATCGCCGATTTTGTGGAAGCCGAGTTTTGGGCGTGCGATCCACTTCCGTGCCTCTGGGAGGAGGCCCAATGAGGGTCTTGGATTTTGGGATACGGGGCTAGCTTTGTAAAATTAACTGTTCCAGCACCAGGACCATAACAGCCGATCCTTCTGCAAGTTGTGGCACCCGTTATGTGCATATCAGGGCAGCTATCAAGCTGGACCCTTCACTTCCGAGCTCCAATCCATCTTGCGGTAGTCTGCTCAGATCTGTAGATGCTCCGACTTGCCTCTTGCCCGCAACGTCTGTACGTGCATTTAATTCTATGCTCCTGGTTCCCATGGCTGCAGGTGAGCCTACCGTATGGGGAGAGTGTGCGGTATCGCCGGGAACCCTGTCAAAGCCCACGTTGTCTCCTTTCGTTCGAGATGTCGTCGGCCTTGGGGCAACTGTCGCCTTCACCATCGCAAGGCATCAGTGCAAAGGAGCAGATAGGTCCAGCTCTTTCCAGCTCGCTCTCCCAGGCATTGGACCTTTCTCGCTGGATTCCCAGGGCAGGCGGTCCTACGAGCAGGACAACGGCACCGGGAGGCCTGTGAGGGGAAAAAGCACTTTCGTAGGGAAGGTCCTAGTGACTAAGTGGCAGTTAGCAGAGGCGTGCAAAAGGCGTGCGCATGCATAGTTTAATAAAATGTAGACCCTGGACCCTAAACCCTAAACCCGGACCCCTAAACCCGAATCTGGTGCAGTGCGCTCACTGCATAGCTGGTGCTTCCGTTTTGGTCGGCGCAGCAGGTCGACCTTTGGAGCCGGTCCCCAGCTGCTTCGGGCCACTGAGCCCAAAGAGATGTGCAGACGAGTCTCTGTTGAGAGGTCTTCATTTAGGGGTTTAGGGTATAGAGTTTAGGGTTTAGGGTTAATTTTTCCTTCCTTCTAGGCCTCCCCGAAAAACCCTCCCTCCCAAAAACCTAAAGACACTAAACAACCCCTGAGCGAGAGAGAGAGAGAGAGCGTCGCATCGCTTCCGCGTCTTAGGTCCCGCTTTGGGTTTTCACGCCCAGCGCCGGCCATTTCCGCTGCCTCACAGAGGCCAGACACGGAACACGCAGCCGTGCAATACTGACGGGTTCAAAGCCTTCATCCTTGTCATTCCCAGAGAACCCCAAACCCCTTAATTAAGGAATGTACCTTAAATCATAATATTAAGGCCCCTATAATTTAAGGTATATTCCTTGGATCTCTGGCTAATTTGTCTTCCGAGAGCAACGGAAGAAGTTGGCCACTCGTGGTTTGAGCTCTGTTCCAGCGTGTTCTGCTTTTCCAGTGGAGCCTGCTTCACTCGGAGCGGCTGCGGCGGATACTTCCGGCTGCTGGCGATGGTGCGGACCCCAACAAAGCCATGAGCTTGCTCTAGACGTATGCAGAAGGTGATTGAGGCTGAAGTGGCTGAGAGGCGAAGCTGGAACTCGCCACATTGCCAGCTTCTTCTTTGGACTTTGGATTGTTCCCTGCTCGGGCCTTGTGTGGCAGCGACCTAGGCGGCAACGGCTGCTGCGGGGGTTGTGGGGACCTCAAGCACTGCAGTGCTCAGGGCTCGGAGCCTTCGGGGTCCTTGCGAAAGCGTTTTATTTGGAGATCCTCCAGGAATCCGGGTTGTTTTTTTGAGGCGGAACCTACACCCAAGGCCTAAGACCGAAGCTCTTTCTGGATCTTTCATGGCCCGAGAAGCTCCGCTTTGAGGTTGCGCTGCCGGCTTCCGCAGGAAATCGGCCAAGTCGGAGCCTCAGTGGCCGCAGCGTCCTCTGCGTTAGGCTGCTGCCAGTCGGAGAGGGTGTAGTCATGCTGGTGGCAAGATAAGAAGCCTTCACAAACCACCCGGTCAAGCAGTGAGAGGTCCAGAACTCCGCTCGTCTAGTATCAATGGTTCCATCCCTTTCTGTCGCAGGTCCTCCAAGATAGCTTCTCAGCCATCCATGGGCCAGGCACCCAGGCAGTTTAAACAACTGGTTTGTAAAAGGCTGATCGACAAACTCCATGAGGCTTCACAATAGTATTGTTTACGCGCTCCCGCGGCCACGCGGCCACACCAAGCACGGTCCGCGGCCCCGCGGCCATGCGGCCACGCGGCGCGCGGCTGGCGCTTCATCATATGTGTAAAGCACGCTTCCTCATTTGGCGATTCCGGTTCATCATATATCTTGAACACGCTCCCGCATTTGGCAATTCCGGTTCCTCATATAGATCTTCAGCGGGCCCCGTCCTTTGTCGACCCCCGTGCATCGTATATCTTGAACAAGTCCCCTCTTTCGGCGCCCCTCATTTGGCGACTCCGGTTCAACAGTCAGTGTTCATCATAGATCTTAAACATACCCTTTCATTTGGCAATTCCGGCTCATCAAATATCTTAAACACGCCCTCTCACTTGGCGATCCCGCTTCATCATATATCTTAAACACGCCCCGTCCTTTGGCTTTTCCGGTTCATCAATGTTCTTCATAGATCTTCAACTCATCCTTCATCATCCTTCATTTCGCGCGGACTAAATCGAGGCGCGGCCCACGGCCATTCAGGCATGCATGCGGCCACGCGGCCCGCGTCCACGCGGCCACGAGGTCATGCGGCCACGCCCACGGGCAACGCAAACAAGAACTTTACACCACAATAGTATTAAGGCTTGAAATCTTGATGCCTCGACCTGCATCAATCGATACCTTCGTGAAACGGAACTGACAGTGGGGCATGCGGTGAAGCAGACGATGTGCATATCGACCATGTGCAGACATGTGCATGCGACGTGACAACAACTGCCTGTGTCTGTTCGACCGGGAGTTCGCCGTGGATTCAGCAGTTGAGTTGCGGGTCGTCTGTATGCTTTCCTGGTGTCTTAGTACAGCAGGCCGAGGACAGAAGGCAAGCGCATGTTCGATCCCACACACCTAAGCCTGTTCTCTATCGCAAGCCGAGCTGCCGCAAAGTCGAGACAAACCGACTGAAGCAGCAGTCGTGAGGCATGGGTTATTGCAGTTTGTTGGTCCACAAAATCCAGCGCTTAGCATCATGCATTGAGATGCTCTCTGTTGTCATTCTGGTTGACTCAGGTGCATTGAGCACCATGCTGGCTGGGCATTACGTGCAATGGGCATGGGACCCGGAACGACATCTCTTAGTCGATCGCGCTTCCTTCCGATCTACTTCATGTCCCGACCCCGGAACCAACGGCCGCAGCGCTGTGAAGCCAAGGTCAACAAAAACGAAGAGATCCGCGGCATGGTCCAGAGGCGAACACGTTCTGCCACAACCACGCTAAAGGACTGTGGCGAATCTCCTTCAAGCTTGGCAGTATTGCATGGAATGCTTGATCTTATGTGCCGGCCTCGAAGTGCAACTTGCACATGTTGCCCCATTCCATCCCAAGAGAGTCCATGGACCAACGTTGCATGCAGTCGCTTGGGTGTAGGGAGTGGACAGAATGCCGAGACCCGGATCACTTTCATTGTCGAATTCGTTCTAGCAGAGGTTGTGTAGCAAGCCGGGAGGATTGGGTAGTGTAGGGTGACAGTCTATAGCCTTGGCAATCATCGCAAGTCCATGGCAGCATTTTCATTGTAAAGCGGGATGATGACTGCGGTCCCGGAAGGTTCGTGCGACTCTACAACAATCCGGAAGAGATTGCGGAGCGCCTTCGACCACGTTCGGACATGTCACTGTGTCACCGCTTAGTCCTTCCAGTGCTGCTGCGCGAAGCAGACGAGGGTGGTTTGAGGTCTTGAATCTGCGAGTTGGACCATCGTTTTGGTCCAAGTTCTGGGTTAAGACAATGACAAGCTCCAGCCGTGGGAGAGTGTGTTCTGACTGTTCCGGGTGGGGTATTGTTGCAAGTTGCAGACCATGATTTTCGAGAAGTTTCAGGGATATAGCTCGAAACCATAACCGGGTCTACACCAACGATCTCTGCAAAAAAGCAGTGCTTGTACGGAGGGCGTATCGGGGCCTTTAAGCCGAACAGCCCAGGGCGCCTGCAGAGGCCGTGCAGGCTCTGAAGGTGCCGAGTGTGGCTGAAGTCTCCGAGGAGTTTGGTGGTTCCGGGTTTAGGGAACAGGACGCACGTTGAGTGTGAACAGCCTAGGGCGAGTTGAGGCGTAGACCAGCAACTTCTGCTGGCAATGTTTCCTCGCAAGCAAGCAGTTCAAGCACATCTTAATCGCCCGGGCTTCTGCAGCGCTGGCGGGTTCACGCTTTCTCGGGCCCCGGAAAGGCCTTTGTGGGCAGTGCCGCTTGCGGGGATGTCCATGACACTTGTAACCGAATTCGTGCTCGCAGACGCCAGAGGGCGACACTGCGCCGCTGCCCGAGAAGGCACTGGGAATGATAGTTGCCATCAAAGTCACCCCAGGTTCGTGACAGATTAGCATGGCGTTGCCGTTGCCGTAGTGCCTCGAGGAAAACATTCGAGTCCAGGGGACAGTCAACGGATTTCACCAGTCCAGCAAAGTTGTGTGCACGTTTGCTGTCCTTCGTCCGTTTGGCCATCGGCGTCAGCTGGTCAACATACACCGAGCGTTGCCTCAAACCCTTCACGAGTTGGAGCAGCCAGTCCTCTTGACAAGGGTTGCAACCCCCCAGCCCTTAACAAGTCGGAGCCGGCCCGCTTCTTGACAAGGGTTGGGCCCCCCCCAACCCTTCACGAGTTGGAGCCAAGGAGCGTGATGCTGGCCGCGTGTCACTGCCTTGAGTCCCCTTCGCTTCAAGACCACGTTTGTCTTGCCCCTGCTTCGTCAA